TCCGGTTCCTATTCCACCGGCAAGTCAGAAATTATTACAATGGATACTCACTCACGCTCCTCCCCCTTACGGTGGGAAGGCCCGAAAGACGGCATTGATTGCTTCCCAAGGAAGGATGTACTGCTCTTCACCCCTGCCTAAGTTAGCCTGCTTGACTTACTCTTGTGCTTGGAAGACCTCTCCGGTTTGTGGACCTGTCTTGTGATTGCTGAGGGACTTGCTGTATGGGCTGGCTCTAGCTTTTTCTTTCAGCTACAAGGCTGTTGGATATGTTTGTTATGCTGTTTGAGCTAATACAGCCTACTTCTGCGCCATTGTCTAGTGCTCTACTCATTACCTTTCTGTGCACAGTAGTGCTCTTTATACTTCCAACGCTACACCTGACCCCTCGTCCCTTGTATAGTTATGATGGAGGGGGTGTTGTCGGGGAAAGGATGATAGGAGGAGGGAGAAGCTTATTAGGTGAGGAACAGACGAGTGGGGGTGGTATAAATTTTGGGAGGGGTAGGACAGGCAATGCACATCCTGATACATACAAAATGGCACAAAATAGCGCAGTGGAAGACTTGAAGATAAGTCCTGACCTGACCGGGACTCACGCGACATCCCATCATACACCGCACATGTGAGAGGAGGAGGAGGGACCGCACACAAGGAAGAAAGGTCCCTCCTTTGTACACACACATGGGGAGATACCACAGACGAGAGATGGGGGGAGAGTCGAGACGAAGATGGAGGTGAGGGAGAAGATCGAGATCGCAATAGTGAAGTCCCTTGCCGATGCCCAATCAATGTCTGCCTCAAAATTGTCGGATCAGATCCTGGGCGCTCTGACCACAGTAACCTCTGCCTGTATCCTCTGCCTGTAACCTCTCTCTCTCTCTCTCGTATCTGAAGAAGAAGAAGAAGAAAAAGAAGAAGAAAGGAGGAGGAAGAAGAAGAAGAAAGGAGGAAGAAGAAGGAGGAAGGAGGGAGACGAAAGGGAGACCGGCGAAGAAGAAGAAGATGTCACCTTCGTCGCTGTCTCACCTGCAGGTGCTACCGCCGAACTGACCGCCGTCCTGTTGTCATCGTGTGCACGTCGTTCGCACACAGGGAGTCTCGGCTATGACGTCAGGTAAGTCCCTTAACGCAGGTATGGCCTCCGCCCCTCTGCCTTCCGGTGTTCAGCCTCCAACTTCGCAGCGCAGCGCTAAAGCAGCGTTGTGCTCAACCAGAAGCACGTCACTCCAGAAGTGAGCTACCCGAACTATCCAGTACCCAGCCTCAGCCCAGCTATATGTAGCGCTGGGCCTGCTGGGCGGTCCTCAGGTACTGGCCTCAAACGGTTGGTCTGGGCCCCTACCGGGTGTCCAGACCATGCTGCTGATGCAGCGAGGCGCCAAAACGCACCTGGCCTGAAACGGCCTCGTCCCTGTGTACCTGGCCCAAGGAGTCGCCTTGGGACCTGCAGTCCGAAACGACATCTGAACAGTACCTGCAGCCTGTAGGGCCGCCGTGGGCCTCCAGGGTGCGTGCTGGATGGCACGCGGCCTGGGCGCCCCTCAGCAACCGTCGGGCCCTTTAACTGGGGCCCGTGTGCGGGCGCAAGATGTAACACCCCCCTCTCCTTATGAAGTCAAGCCTGGTCGAGAGCGAAGCTGACAATCTGAAGGTCGAACCTGGACGTGAGCGTGGCGTGGAGCCAAAGGTGCTGGCTTGCCTTGCAACTTGCGTTCGTAGCGTGCGAGAACATCCGAAGCTGTTGTGCAAGGAACCCGACTGCTCATCACTTGCTGGAGTGTTTCAAATCACATGCATATACACAGATTTCACAGATTGTGATATCTCACACATAGCTCAATAGTACATGAATGAGAGCCAGGAAGCTCAACTCAAATACCATAACCAGATTAGGAGAGGAAATCGTGAGTCCAAAAATGTATAGCGCCGAACAGAGTTACAAGTACTCTTCAATCAATCATGAGTTCCAAGCCTGGCTCTTCAGCGCCAGCTGCCAAACGTCAACAACAGCGCTCAACAGGTAACTGTCACCATAGCTCTCTCCTCCCCCTCTCTCATCTGCTTTCTTCTCTCTCTCCCTCTATGTCTTTAGTCCTGGTCTACTCACACTCTCCATGCATGCACACTCCCTATCACAGGAGGATCTACTCTGAATACTACTCACTGGTGTCTCCCACTGACTATCCCTACTATTATACTAACTAGCACTGCCGCAGCTATGGCTGCCTTCCTTCCAGCCAGCACCCTTCTTCTCTCTCTCTCACGCTTAGCGCTGCTCACAGCCTATTGCAGCTCACACACATGTAGCGCACAAGTGCCACGGCACTTCCTCACTCTCATGCGAAGTGAGCATCTGCCGAATGAGGAGACTGGCCAGTCCTTTATAGCGCTGGACTGGACTGGCGAGGTCTGAATTCGGCCTCCAAGTGTCTGGGACTCCTGCCCAGTACTGGTTGTTGCAAAGTGTGTGTCCCAGTATTTTTCCCCATGGTCTGCTGCTGCTTTGGGCCATCGGGCCTGTCTGTTGGACTCCTGGTCTGAATCAGGACTGACTTGTGGGATTATGACTGGACTGGGATTGTGGCCTGTGACTTATTGCCGAACAGACGTGACTTTTCATCGGGCAGACATGGCCCTAACTCAGTCTTGAAAACCGTGTCCAACACCTGTTCGTTCGGGACCTGTTTTGTGACTGTTCAAAACAACTTTTCATTTCATTATGGATGCGACATTTGCCTCAGGAGCTTGTCTTTTGGAGTGTTACTCGTAAACTTGAGTTCAGGCCGAGAGGGCCCTTTTCATGCGGGGGTCACATTTAGGGGCCTGAATCGTAAAGGCCCTTTTACTCTCACCGGCCTAATTTCGAAGTCCTCTGAGAAAGTTTTACTTGTCCATAACATTGACACCTGTTCTTGCTCTTTCATAGTAAGTGCAAGGAACATGAATATGGACGAAGCACAGAAATCCAGAATGCAAAATCACACTGAAGTCCAAGTAGTCAAAGCCAAAGCAGATAGCACATGGAACCGAGTAACCATCCCATTGAGAATGATACAGAAGAATCGTGAGTCAATGTCCATGCCCAACAGGGCAACACCAACAGCATAACCCAAATGTAGCTCTCTCTTGTGAATGGCGCCAGGCGCCCTATCTACTCTACAGCCTAGCCTACAACTACAGCAATGAAAGCAACCAGACAACCTGACTACCAGCGAGTGATGATGTCAACACCAATGTCGACCTCCACCTCCACCAGGTACGTATCCTCTTCACCCACACTCTTCCCTGTTACCCACACAGCGCCCTTCACCTCYGAAGACCACCTTCGCCCTCACCTCCCCTGCGCCCTCTGCAGCCCGGCTATGGCCGCCAAGCGCCCAGTGCACAGGCAGCGCCCTACCGCCTAGCGCATGCCTGCCATGCACCTCTTCTTAGCGCAGCGCAGCAGCCAGCAGCTCGCATTAGCGCAGCGTGCCGGCATTGCCCGCAATGGCCAAGATCCCTGCCCATTCGCCCTGCTTGCCTATATGCCAGTGCAGTGTGTGGGCGGCCTCCCTTCAGCCTGCGACCGGGACCCAGAGGCTGAACCCAGCCCGATACAGTTGGGCCCCGGGGCAATGCAGTTGCGCCTCCTTCATCAAGGCCTGCGGCCAGATTCAGATAGTGGGCC